ATTAAGAATACAACACTAAATTTTCCACAAGTTTTCCTTCAAGTAGCTATAGAGAAATCTCGAAGCGTCATTATAGGAAAAATTTGAGGTGCGTTTGAATTTTAAATTTTTACGAAATAGCGTTACGATAACGATTTATCCTGAAACGATTTTAAATATTTGTTATTCAGGGGCGGACTGGGAGATTGTCGGCCCAGGGGGAAATACAGCTTAGCGGACCTAAATATTTTACTRTATTATTACTATATCAGTTGTGATTTTGTAAACAATATGAATGTTTATTGCCTAAATATATTACAAGTTTATTGTTCGACGACCGGCCCAAATTTCATAATTTAGACCAGCCCAGGAGGATATTTCCCCCTAGCCCCCCTGGCCAGTCCACCCCTGTTGTTATTTTTCAAAAAGTATAAGTCGTAGATACGTGAAAATTTTATCAGTTGTTTAGATTGGCATTTTCTTTACATGATTTGATTTTAAAAATATTTTGACTTTTTTTGAGATATAAATAGACAACTGAAATTTTCAATTTTTCAGAAAAATTTTTTTGAAGGGTTGATAAAATTTTTTCGGCMMTATCAAAAYRYTTGAAAATTGAATACAAAGTTCCTCATAAGTTATTCTTATAGTAATTAAAAAATTATAAAAATACGTAGGCACAATTTTTTTTTTATTAGCATTTGAAGTTCAAATATTGACTAAATACGTAWAAATTACGAAAATTBDHAAATTATTTTAAGCTAGAAATTTATACAAAATTTTCTTTTTAAATCAAAGATTTGAAAATTTTTAATTATCTACAATATATCCTAGACTGACAAATCATCTCCGTTCAGAATCGTTTTTCGTATACAATGATACCTATCATTGCATTCAAATCTAACCTACCCTAGTCAGAGGTCCACCCCACCACCTAATGTACAGCAGAGCGACATCCACTTACCCGCTTTGTTAGATTCTGAACGAAGTAATGAATGTATTGAGTTTAGAATGATGTGTGTGTTTTTTTTGTGTCTGTCATCTCGTTTTGGGCCAGTAAAAATGCTTGATTTTTGACTTCAGTACCTCGTTCGATCAGAAAATGAATCTAGTTGGTACTTTAGGGGGTCAAACGTAATATTTTTCTAAATAATCGGGATAAACAAACTAAAAATTAAGGGAAAAACGGGAAATTTTACGCACACTCATTTTTCGACAAAATTGATTTTGGTTTTTGATGTAACTTTAAAACGAATGACCATAGATACATGAAATTTTCGCCGAATGTTTATATAAGTATA